TTTTCAATGTACAGAAGCAATTCCTTCCATAGTAGTAATTGTTTCTCAAGGCCATGGTAAATGATAGATATGTCATGCTTATTAATTTGCTTTATGCCACATCATATACGTAAAAGTTTCAGTAATATTACAAACACTACCCACCAACATAATTATTGAAAACAGTTATCTTTGCATATACTCTCTGTTTCCCTCTACATTTTAATATTTTTTTGAATTTTGAAATAATTTCAAACTTAGAGAAAAGTCACAGAATAGTGCATACTGCCCATGTACGTTTTACTCAGGCTTCCTATTAGATAAAATTTTGCTACATTTACTTTATCATGCCCTTCTTCTCTCCCTCCCTCATATTCCCAACCCCAACCCCCACCCCCACCCACAATTTGTTATTATATTTTTTCCTGAATTAACTAAAAGTAATTGTAGACATGATGCCCCATTACCCTTAAATAATTCAGTGTATATTTTCTAAGACAAAGGCACTCTGTTAACATAACCACAATATAACCATCAAATTCATGAAATTAATGCATGTATCACTCAAATTCTTCGAATTTTTCCAATTATGTCTTTGATAGCAAAAAAGGACACAAATTGCATTTATGGGCATGTTTTAGTCTCCAGATACAGCTTTTCTCTTTTCTTCTTTACTTTGACATTTTTAATTAATGCAGGCCAGTTATTTTATTCAGTTTTCCTCAATTTGGGCCAGACATTTCCACATATAAATTTTTGGCAGAAATACCATAGAAATGATGTTTAGAATTGATAAGTGTTTTCTTAGTGTAACCTATTAGGAGACACATTATGTTGATTTGGTCCTTACAGGTGAGATTAACTTTGATGACTTGATTAAGTTGGTGATGCCAGGTTTCTCCACTCCAAACTTAACTTTTTTCCCCTGCTTTATAATTAATTAATATTTTGTGGGGAAATGCTTTGAGACTATATAAATGTTCTGTTCCATAACATAGTTTCACCATCTCCTTATAGCATTCATTGATTCTTTCCTGGGTAAATTTCTGATGGTTGCCAAATGCTGGTTTTCTAATTTCATCATTCCTTCTACAATTTATCAAGTAATATTCAACCTATTTATTTATATGGATTCATATTTAAGCCATTACTATCATTACTTATGTTGATGCTCAGATTTAGTCAGTAGGAGCCTTGTGTCTTTTTGATATGTCTTTGTTATTCTTTGAGCATTTCTACTTTATGGCACAAAAACTTTTTCAGGCCTACTTTTTATTTTCTACTCTGGGAATCAGTTGTTTCTCTAAAGAGCCCTTATTCTTTTTAGTGGACAATGGTACTGGGAAACATATATAGACACCAGATAAGCTCATTGTGTCAGGGATGTCATTGTCCCTAGGTCTCATCAGGAGACAGAGCTAGGAAATATATGTGTATATGAATACATGTGTGTCTGTGTATGTATATCTGTGTGTAAGATGTGTTTGTATATAGGAATACACACATCTATAGTAATTTAATCTATATTAAGTTAATCTGTATTAATTTTGATATTTGTATGAGACATGCACACCTCCCTTTGTAGTCCACCACAGAGTTCATTCTAGCCTTCTCCATTTCCATATTTGTAATTCCATTCTCTGACAGTGAGAAATGTAGCTCCTGCTGTCTTCAGTTTACTTATTCAATTTCCCCTGTATATAATTATTTGCCTTCTTGAACCCATTGGTGCAGGCCCTATCAAACTCCAAGTTGTTTTTGGCTGTGAATGCTTCCTTGGTCCAGGCCTCCATTGCTAAAGGAAAGGGGAGGGGAGGGGAGGGGGAAAGGCAGTCACTTTTTTTTCAAGTAAAAAGAGTAAGCCCACCATTTTAAAAATATTTCAACTTATTTACAGTATCAGAACATATTATATACTATATGCACTCTTTTAATCATCATTTAGTCTTATCTCTGTAGGCCACTATACATTTAATTCTTTCCATCAGTCCTTATGTATTTAATTACTTTGGAATCCTGAAGCTTGTTGTCTATAGATTTCTAGGAAGGGCCTATGGGAACTATGCTTACTAAGTTCTGGAATGTTGAAAACAGTTCATCTATGGTCTTAATACTTGAGGTTAGGTGAATATAAAATCCTTGGCTTCAGTTTTCTCTTTTTGGTTATCTATGTTACTCCATTGTTTTGTGCAAGTATATTGATGAGTAGTCTGAAGACAGTCTATTTTTCTTTTCTTTATAAGTCATTTGATGTTTTTGCCTAGAGGCCCAGTTAATTTTATTAGAATATAGCTTGATGTTCATTAATCTGGGTCAGTATTTTTAGGTGTGTGATTTGCCCATTCATTATATGGCTTCAGATTTTTCTGTTTTTATATCAGACATTTTCTCCAATTATGGTTATATGTTTTATTTCTCTTCATTAGGACTCCTGTTGTATGTGTGTTGGATCTTTTTTAACTACCTTCAGCATTTGCCATTTTCTTTCTAATTTTGTGTCTTTTTCATTTAAAAAAATATTGGTTTTTTTATATTCTCTTTCACTTACCCAATATCTATTGTGTTTATAACTTCTTGTTTCTTTTAACTTAGTCTTTTTTGAATTGATTTTTAAATTTCTCTAGATAGGTACTTTTGGAGGTTTTGCTAATTCTAATTTATGTTATTACTGTATATTATGTATAATTTCTTAAAGTCTTCAGCCTGGTTTGAAGTAGTAGGTTATAGTGTTTACCTGTTTTGTTAGCAAGTCTTTGTGGTGTGCTTTCATTGTCCTCAGAGATTTATTCCTATTTTCTTTTTTCTTATAATAACCTTGTATCAGATTTTACTTCTATCATTTTCTTTTATGAATTTTTATGTGTAGTTAGCCATTCTAAATATACAGAAACCCTTCTTCATTTTTTTGTGTAATGGTTAAAAATATTTCGCCTTTCTACATAAGAAATCTAGTTTCCCACTTTTTCTGGAGTTTCTTTTTATTTTTTCCTATTGCCCCTGTCCTCTTCAGTTTGGGTCCTGTTCCCAGTAGTTTCTCCTCAGTGTGGCTTTATTCTGAAAGAGAACTTTGATTAGTTTTGAGAGTTTGTAGTGACTGGAGTGTCCTTAAAAGTTTTTTTATGAACCCTTTCACTCACTTGCTATTGTAGTGAGCAAGACCAATTCCTTTTTATACACTTTTTTCAGTTTTGGCTGCTGTGCTACATAGAGAGTCCCGGTTGGTAATTTTGGAGATCTTTTGTTCTGTGGGTGGGCAAATGCCCTTTTACTATCCACTTCTTTGTAATACCCACATAGATCTATTGGTGGGTCATTCCCACCTTTTTGTATTTTGGTATATTGTGCAGGAGGTTTTGATTTTGCTATTTAACTCTGATTTTATGAGGGAATTTTCAGAGATTTAAATTTTAAGTTGCTGTCACAGCCTTCTTCTAGAATTCTTATAAAATTTTTTATATTTAAAAGTTGTGAACCACTACCCCATAGACAGTGCAGTCTACTGTTCTAAAGGTTAACATTGTTTGCATTAAATAAGAACTAAATTGCAGTTAAAAACTGACTATATACAACAGGGTGTCCCTCCAAAAATGTATACACACTTTAACAGCTGATAGCTGTAGTTTCTATTACATTTTGAAAATGAAATATATTTTGATAAACACTGCCTTTATAATGTGTATACATTTTTGGGGGATACCCTGTATATTTTATTCTTACCTTGTTAATAACTAAGAGATTGCTGTCTAATTTGGAGCCTTTCTGTACCAGCTACAAGTAAATTGTTATAAAAACTGAATTTCTTGTGTCTTTGGTGACCTCTTGAATGCATTAGCTAGGGAAAAAATATGGTAGAAAGTAGTTATATAATGTATATGTGTATATACAGGGGTAGGCAAAAGTAGGTTTATAGTTGTAATACAAATAAGTAATACAATAATTAATACATAATAATATAAGAATAAACTCATATACTCACAACTGTAAACCTATGTTTGCCTACCCTGTTATATGTATATGTTTGCAAATTTGCCACTGAAACTGCCAGGATTTATATATATAAAAGCTTTATCGAGATATTATTCATATACCACACAATTACTTCACTTAAACCATACCATTCAGTGGGTTTTAGTATATTCAGAGTTGTACAATCATTATTACAACAATCACTTTTAGAACATTTTCTTCACCTCAAAAGAAAACCCCCCATGCGCATTAGCAGTCACTCTTTACTTCTCCCCAGTTCCATCCTTCCCTTCCCACTAGCCATAGGTAACTAATCTACTTTCTGTCTCTGTAGATTTGCCTATTGTATACATTTCATATAAATGGAATCATATAATATGGTCTTTAGTGACTGTCTTTTTCACTTAGCATATTTTCAAGGTTCATCCGTGTTGTAGCATATAGCAGCAGTTCATTTATTTTCATTGTTGAATAACATTCCATTGTCTGGGCATATTGGCATTTATCTATTCAACTGGATTTTTTCCGTGTTTTTTTTTTCCTATTATCAACAATGCTGTTATGAACATTTGTGAGCCAGTTTTTGTGGAGGTGTATGTTTTCATTTCTTTTGGGTATATACCCGGGACTGTTGGGTCAAATGGTAACTATATGTTTTCAACAAATGATTTTTCAAAAGTGGCCACATATTTTATATTCTCACCAACAGTGTATTAGGGTTCCAGTTTCTCCACATCTTTGCCAACACTTGTTATTGTCCATATTTTTTATTATAGTCATCCAAGTGTGTGTGAAGTTAGGTATCTCATTATAGTTTTAATTTTCACTTGCCTAATGGCTATTGATATTGAGCAACTTTTCATGGCTTATTGACCATTTATATATCTGTTTTGGAGACTGTTCAGATCCTTTGCACATTTTTATATTGAGTTTTTGGTTTAATTATTGAATTGTAAGAGTTCTTTGTATTTGTGTATGTGTGTGTGTGTATCTTTCAGATATATGATTGTGTAAATATTTTCTCCCATTCTGTGGATTGTCTTTTTACTTTATTGATGACATTCTTTAAAGGGCAAATGTTTTTAATTTTGATGAAGTCCAGTTTCTCTACTTTTTCTTTTGTCACTTGAACTAATTTTTGCATATACTATAAAGCAGAGGTCCAAATTCATTCACTTGCATGTGGATATCCAGTTATTTCAGTACAGTTTGTTGACCCACAAGTTCTGATATGTAGCATGTTCATTTTTATTCAATTCTATTTTCTTATTTCTGTTATGCTTTCTTTGATACATGAATGTCTATTTTTTTTCTAACCCATTTGTGATCTTTCTAGGCACATTTTGTAGTTGATTTCTCACTTAAATGCACTGCACTCATAGATTGTGGTATATAGGATACTAGTTCTTTGAGACTTGATAACATTATGGTCTAGCTATAAAATAGTCAATTTTCATTCCTTGTGTGCCTGTAAAGAATGACTATTCACTAGTTGGATATAATGTTATATCTCTTAGATCAAGTTTGATAAATTAGATGTTTGTATTATTTGTATCCTTAGTGATTTCCTTTTTAATCTACCTGATGCCATTATTGGTTAAAATGTGTTAAAATCTTCTACATTGTGGTTGGTTTCTCTGTTGTTGTTTTTTCTTTTAGTCCTGTTGATTTTTTTTTAATGTATAGTTTTCAGTTATTATGGGAAGTTTTAAGCTCTCACAGGAGAGGGAATAGTGTAATCAGTTCCTATCACCCTCCCATCTTAACCATTATGAATATATATGTATGGCCAATCTTATTTATATATTCTTTCTACTCCCTCTTTTATGCCCCGTCAGTATTTAAATCAAATTTTAGACATAACTATTACTTTTTTATGGACTCAATGTTTAGATTTACTCATACATTTATCACAGTACTTGCTCACCATTCCCTTCTACAGCCTGTCTAGAATCATTTTTCTTCTGCCCTATATATATATATATTACATTATCCTCTAGAAATCTTACTGGTAAATTTTCTGTTTTTGTTTGAAAATGTTTCTAATCTTGTGCATTTTCTAGATAATTAGTGCAGAACTTGAGTTGACAGTTATTCTCCCTGAGCATCTTGAAGATACTATTCCAGTTTCTTTTAGCTGCCATTGTTGCTGTTGAGGAAGAAATAGGAAGTCCAGTTTCTGTATCTTTGTAGATAATCTTATTGGCTATTTTTTCTTTGGTATTCTGCAGTTTTACTAGGATATGACAAATAAAAGTGTGTCATAAGTAATTGAATGATAGTAATTTTGAGCTATTAGCTTTAAATTTCTTAATATTCTATTTCTAAGTTGTGATTAGTGGTGGTCTGTAAACAATTAAGTACATAAGGAGTACTTGCTCTTTCAAAAGACCCAATGTTGAATCTTTATGGAGTACTTGATTCTTAATTTGTCAGCTTTATAATTTTCTTCTCAAGATGTGTATATGTACCTTGATGTAAACAGGCATAGTATGCTTTCTGTATCTTTCTACAGCACTATTGGAAATAATTATGAAAAATGGAAGCACAGCTGGAAGTAGCCCTCATTGTCGAAAACCATCAGGTAGTTCTGATCAAAGCAAGCCTAACTGCACAAAGGACAGCACATCTGGTAGTGGTGATGGTGGAAAAGGCTACACCAAAGACCAAGTAGATGGAGTTCTCAGGTAGGAATAAATATGATTTATATCTAATCTACAGTTGCTACTGTTGTAATTTTTAAATGGTATAGCACCTAAAAAAGTGTTTGAATTATAATATTCAGTAGAAGAACAGACATCAAGGAACTGAACTAAGGTATGTTTTACATTCTTCGTAAAACTAGTCTGTAAAGCCCTAGCCAGTTTGGCTCAGTGGTTAAAGCATTGGCCTGCAGACTGAAGGGTCCCAGTTTGATCCTGGCCAACGGCACTGACCTCACTTGTAGGCTCGATCCCCGGCCTGGTCTGGGCACATGCAGGAGGCAACCAATCGATGTGTCTCTTTCACATTGATGTTTCTTTCTCTCTCCCTCTCTCTCTTCCTCTCCCCCCCCC